CCCAATACAATTCGAGAAGATAAACAATCGAACGACCTTTTGTAATGGAACTTTTCTGCTGATCACTGATAGCTAAAACGATTGGTATTGATTGATTCAGAGGTTCGGTCAATCGATATTTATCGTCACTCGCGTCGCTAGACTGAGACGATCCCGGCACGGTACAATTACGTTCCAAGTCAAATATCTGGCCATGATGTAAACACTGCAGATACTGTCGTTCACGCATGAATCCTGACAAAGGAGTGGCCCAACCTTCGACTAAAACCTAAAATGGATCAAAACCATTCTCACTGTTTATTGCGGAACACATTTTTGTGCAATATGACTTCAGCCATGAAATTACTGATAATTACAACTGCGCAGTGATATTTCAAGCAGAGGATGAAAGTGAAAGCATAAAAATGAACAAATGAAAGCATAAAGATAAGAAATAATGAAACAACAAATTACCTGAAGCCATTGCAAATCAATACGTGTTAGGTCAATTCTAGGCATTTGCGGTATCCGTTTCTTGAGTTCCATTTTCGCAGTGTCATCAACAAACAACTCTCGAACGCAATTTCCACAAAGCTGTTGCATTGCTCGCTCAGGTATTATGCCCTTTATGAACACATATTCAATACGATCAGAATAAATAAATATGTACTATATATTACTTAAAATTGAATCATTTGTAAAGTAGTCGGTCACTCATAGCCATAATAATCTATGAATTCAAGCATGCATACAGGCAACGGTGCGATTTCGACGAATGCCATACAATTGAGAGGGTGCAAAAACAACGATAATTCTGTTGAATGACTTTTTAGCACCAACCTTTTCATAGAGGAATTCGATTAATTTACGAACACACTGCCCTTCAGTCAGAGTTTCAGCGTCCAATATCAGGTCCGGATCTTCAGGTGCCTCATAAGCACTGTCAATGCCGGTAAAACCGGTCAATTCACCAGCTCTTGCTCNTCCGGATCTTCAGGTGCCTCATAAGCACTGTCAATGCCGGTAAAACCGGTCAATTCACCAGCTCTTGCTCGTTTGTACAATTCTAAAATATTAAAATATTCAATCGATGCTGATCGACGAAGCTGACCGAAAATACACTTACTTCCACCACTTTAACAAAATAGCGTTCATGCGAAATAAAAAATGAAACAATGAAACAAAGTTGTTCAATTGTGAAACAATTCCGAAATGATTAAACTCACTTTTTGGATCACGAGATTCGCAGCATTCTAGAGATGCGTTGACGAATACTTCAAAGAATGGTAATTCATCCTATAAGTTCTCCAAAAATCTTATTTTTTTAAAATACTCACAATAATAACAATGATAATGACAATAACAAAATAATGACAACAATGACGAGTGAATGAATGAAAAACCACCATCCACCTCCGTATGAATCACTCTCACGTTATCTCGATCACACTTGAACGGACTAATGAACGATGCCAACGCCACCACTCCCATATCAGCGAATAACTTCGCCACTTCACCGACTCGTCGAATGTTCTCGGTTCGTTCCTCCTTCGTGAATCCCAAATTCTTACACAAGCCATGACGGACGTTATCTCCGTCCAACGCATACGCTGGTATACCAATCTAAATATTCTCATACGGTCATCTTCAACCAACGAATATAAATATAAACTGTCATCAATCGTTGGGCTCATCACTTCATATCTCACCGTACATTTTGTATTCTTATCTCCTTTTCATTTTCAATTTTGCATTTTTTTGCTGTTGTAGGTTTCTTCACTTGCAGTGTAAGTGTATATACTTGAAATACATTTATTTATCACAATTGGTAGGAATAATAAGAACGATAATACTGATATTAATTAATAATATTAATCGCTCGTTAAA